TATGTAGAATTTTCTCATTAAAAAAATATTTTATGAGCTCAAAATAAATATATATATATATATTTGTGTGTGTGTGTGTGTATAAAGTCTACTGTTCAGATCTGGCCAAAATTTTAAATCTGTGGACTACACACAGGCTTGACAAAGAAACTAAGGTTCAGTTTTAAAGAGCTTTGTATGCTATTCTAAGGAGTTTAGAGTTTAGCCAACAAGCAGTAGAAAGGCAAAGGAGTATCTCAAATAAGGAGATGACATGATCAGAAAGAAATTTTGTATGTTTCTCATGGACTAAGATTAAAACAAGCTAGTGGTAGAGAGATCAGGTTAGAGGCTATTTTAGTAGTCTGAGATGGAGATATTAAGGGTAGTACTTGGACATAAATAGTCCAAAAATACAAAATTAAAAAAATTCATAATATATTTTTGTTACAGGAGCAATGAGATTTTTATATTAGTTAAATATGGGAGTTAAGTAGGAGTTGCTGATGACTAGGTATTTTATGTTAGTCAATTGAATGATGTTGCCATTGATTACATAAGAACACAAGGAAGGAAGTGGGGATGATTTGTTTGGATTCAATACATTTTTGAGATGAGTTAGAAATGCAGGTTTGAAACACAGGAAATTAGGATGGGATTCAAATTTGATAGTCATATTCCATAAGTGATGGATAAACCAATGGGAGTGAGTTAAATTTTCTTGGGAAGAACGTTGCATTGGATAGAAAAGCAGAGACAAGATGGAATCTGGGGAACACCCCAGTTTTAAAGGGTGGGCCAAAAAAGAAAACTAACAAGGGAGAAAAAACGAAGTCATGGTGGAATAAAACTAACAATAACCAATAGAAGAGTTTGAGGGAGAAAACAGCAAAAGTTTCAAGTTCCTTAAAGAAATGAGGTAGAATAAGAATTTAAATCATCCTTTGGATTGACAATTAATGGATCATTGATGACTGTCACAAAGGCAATCTCAATGGAGTGGTAGAAAGAGCTGTAGTACTAGTTAGGAATGGGGAAGATAGCTCCTCACCTCAGACATCTTTTTTTAAAGTTATTATGAAACATATCCAGAAACCTTCCAAAATATGTCACTGAGGTTCTCTTTGGTGATGCCATAATACTATTTATTTTCTAAGATTAAAATTTAAAAAGTTGTAAATGCCACATTGGTCAAAAATTTTCTGATCAGAATGGTAACATTTGTGACCTTATTTACAGATTCCTTTTTAAGGAAATTTTATAGAATTTTTAGGCAAAATTTTAGTAGAAATTCTTTAAATTTTATAGAGAAAATGGAACATTTTACTTTCTCCAAATTTCCTGGCTACTTTGAGCAAAAATCTTTACTAAAACATTAATAGTATACCATAGATGAAACAGAGTTGCCAATGAGAAATGTAATTGTAAGGCATTCCTTATGCTTGTGTTTAAAGGTCTTGAGCCTCCAGTTTACTCCACACCTTGGACTCTGCACAAATCACTGTTTCTCTCTGGGCATTTTGACTGTTGTGGGACCTATTGCTTTGTGGAAGTTTACTGGATGTAAGTATTGGTTAGTTAATTAAAATGGACTAGCACCCAAAGTACATCTATTGAACTGGGAAATCTATAGGCAGCACAATTTGTGATTCTGCTATGCTACCACTAGTGTCTTAGTATTTAATACTTGTGGCAGATTGGTAGAAACAACAACTGCTACTACGTAGCAGTTGCAACAGCAGCAACAAACAACAAACAGCAATGGTTATTATTTGAATGTCTTTACTCTGCCAGGCATTATTCTATATGCCTCATGTATATTATCTCTAATATCCTCACAGTAACTCTTCCAGAAACGTCAGGGGATTTGTCTAAGACAGCATAGCTGATAATGGAAGAGCTTTGTTCTCTTTGACACCGATGTATGCATTCTATTCACTAGGACATGCTTATTGATTTTTTTTTTTTTTTTTTTTTTTTTTTGGCGGGG